ATGTATATGGTCTTTGGGTGAACCCTTTAAAGGAGTAACTGAAGGACGTTCCTCTGCTCTCAGACACAGACTGCTGGAGGCTTTGAGGGTGGCGTCAGTTTGGCGCCATGGCAACGATACTAACCAAGTCACACCGGTCCTTCCCTACGCCAGGCTGGCATTCACACACACGCTCACTTTTCTTAATAAGGTGGGATTACTTGCAAACTTATATCAAATCACACACTCTCATGCAAACACAAACCAACTGTGTGTGTGTGTGTGTGTGTGTGTGTGTGTGTGTGTGTGTGTGTGTGTGTGTGTGTGTGTGTGTGTGTGTGTGTGTGTGTGTGTAGATGGACCTGGTGCACACGCTGGGGGAGAGTGCGGCGTTGGGTGCTGCTGGAGTGGTGCTGTGGGGGGAGCTGAAGTTTGCCCAATCTAAGGTATGTAATGTTTGGCAGAAGTGTGTGTGTGTGTGTGTGTGTGTGTGTGTGTGTGTGTGTGTGTGTGTGTGTGTGTGTGTGTGTGTGTGTGTGTGTGTGTGTGTGTATTTGTGTATTTGTATGTGTAATTCCCTCCCCTTTCTCCAGAATCATTGCATCCTTCTCAGGGACTACGTGCACACTGTCTTGGGTCCCTTCGTCCAATCCTTGAGGTCGGACACTAAGCGGTGCGGCCTTCAACTTTGCCATGGCAACGGACGCTGTGCCAGGCGACGCCCCGGCTCTGGTCATATGATCTCCTCAGGTCTAGCTTTGACCTTTAACCCCAATGAAATCCACTTCCTCTCTGACTCCTACCATGGCAGAGCATTTCAAAACCACTTCCTGTGTCAGTGCTACCCGGGCTGGACCGGGCAGGAGTGTCAAGAGAAGAAGAACGAAAACAGAGAGAATAGCAAGTAACAGAAATGTTTCTATCGAACAGACATCAGTTATTTAAAATGAAATAAGTGAATTGTGTTTATTTCACACAAAAAATCCCGAAGTATGCATGAACAACTGATTTGAATTATATTTCCCTCCAAGTGCAAATCATTTTGAGTTTAACTTGATGACACTTCATTACATTTTTCCGGATTTGTAACTTTTTTCCTATTAACCTTTTGTTACTGGAAGTACTTTCCAAATTAAGCTTTTAACCTAGACTGCAGTGTTTTTGCAGCAGGAAACCTAACACAGTAATGGCTGCCCTGAGAAATAATGTATAAGAGGTGGTTGAGGTCATTGACCTTTAATAAATGTTACATTGTTTTAATTTAAAAAAGCAAACTAGTATTGTTTTTTTGTTGCATTTAAAGATTTGTGTTTCACATCAGTCAGTCTTTGTATTTAACATGTTTAATGAGGCACAACGTCTGAATGACAGCACAAACAGAAAACACTGTTATATTAAGATAGTGTGTCTTTTATACATTACACAATGGCAACACTCATTCAACATTCATCCATTCACTTATTCTTTTAAGCAACCAAGTTATACTGCTTTAATGATGCGCAATGACAGAATAAAAGAGATCATTGGAAAGTTACATTTACCAGCGCATCCAGAAACCTCCTATTTCTCAATTACATCAGTAACATGTAATCCTAAACACAGACAACACTTAGGGAAAATCGACTGTAAAACCCAGTTTTACTGCATGTTCAAGCATCTCATGTCCAGTGGGTGTATCCAGGTTTAGTGTTCTGTGCATATCATGTCCCTCCTCCTAAAGCTGTCAGGTTATGTCTCAGCGCCTGCAGCTGTTGGATCAGCAGAGACAGCTCTGTGGCTGCAGCCTCTTTCTCCCTCACAGCCTCAGTCAGCATCTGGATGACTCCACCCTGCTGGACTGGAAGCAGACGAGAAACAAAGGCCACTGTTAGTTTGTCTTAAAGGACCCCTACTCTTTTTCATCAATATGTTATAGTTCTCAGTTATGTACAAAACATGTCTCTGAGCCAGGTCGCAACAGAAGTGCAAACACCAAACAGATCGTGTATTGTAGCATCCCATAATCCCCTCTGTTTCAGCCCTGTTTCAAAAGTGCTGATTCTCTGTCTGTTACTTTAGATGAAAATAAGGAGCCCCTCCCCACGCCCCTCTGAGAGATATTTGGTTAGAAAGAACACAATGGTGCTCTAGGAGGAGATTCAGGTGATAAGGGGGGGGGGGTTAACTTGGTTGGTGATTGGCTAATGGTTACTCAAGCCAAAAAATCGTTATAACATCACAAAGTGGCCAACATCTGATCAGCTCATTTTCAGACAGGTTTTTATATAAATGGATCAGGACAAAAAGTGAGAGAATCTTTTTTCCTGAAACTTTCATAATCTCTTTACACAGAGGGGACACATGTTGATGTATAAAATACATGAACAAGTGGATTTTGCGTAATTGGTGACCTTTAAATCTTATTCCATCTAATGTCATACTTCTGTTTGAAGTTGGCACTATTTTCCACCTCAACGTTATTTGTCTTCTTTCTCTTTCCTTTTCTACTAATTACCTTGCTTTCT